GAGCAGTGGATCGGGGAAACCGATCACAGATCGTGCACGAACTTACAATCGTGATCGCGGGATTGGCAGACGAGCTCCCCCTTGACATCGTCTCTAAGAGCGACGAAGAACCCGTGCCACATACCCTCTCGAGGACCCTCGCCCCGAGCCTCCAGTGGTCGGCTTGTATAGAGGAGCGTTGGGCGGACGACCGTTTTCCCTCCCGTAGCGAGTACCTGGACGTCCACAGCCTGGCTAATCCCCGCTTCTTTCGGCAACCAACGGCGTTCGAGTGGGCGGCGCTGAGAGCAGAAAAGGAGGCCGAAGAGGAATCGGAAGGAGAATTGAGGAGAGGCCGGGGAAGCAGCGGCTCGATTGGCCGAGGACGAGGAAGAAGAGTGCGAAGCTGAAGAAGAAGAAGAAGAAGAAGAAGCAGAGGAGGAGACTTCGGAGGAAGAGGAAGAAGCCTATAGTGAGTACAACGAGGGCGAGCAAAGTAAGGAGGAGGACGAAGACGACGAAGAAGTGGAAAGCGGAGACGACCAAGCGCCAACGCGCGGACATCGCGCGGGAAATTGTTTCGTTCTTTTTTAATTTTCTTCTGAATCTTTTTCGAATTTTGTCGAGCCCCAATGGCTCTCGGAATTTCGGACTTTCCTTCTGGAATTCGTGCTTTTTGCTTTTTCGCATTAGATAGGAATTTAAAAATTCAGTAATTAGGACTTTTCCTTGCCGCGTGGCGCCTTTTGTTTACGCGCTTCTTCATGCGGCTGCAATGGTACTCTGATCAGTGGGCGCCCTTAATCATATGTGTAACTGTAATTTTGGGCGGGCGCCATTGTAACTATATCTTTCTTCTTGCACTTCGTCTCTTCCTCCCTCCCTCTCTTTCTTTTGCTGAAATTTTGTAAGCCGCAGCTTGCATGCGCGGATCGATACGTGGAGAAGGGTTACGTCCCCCACGCCGCGGTCGATCATACAGAACGCAGGCGCTCCCTCTCTAATCCTCACTCCAAGTCCTGGTAATTCCGTGTTCTTCGTGCATGCATGCACACTATAAATTTCGGTTGCGCGATAAGTCAGCCCTCTTACCCCTTGTTGGAAGCTCGGGGTTGCGCGATCAGGAAGGGTCGGCACACGAGCGAAGTAAGAGGTGAGTAGAGTAGGAGTTGGGCGACCTGACGGGCTGGTGCCGAACGCGCGGGATTGACGTGGGCCACGACGGACTGTGGGCATGGGCGAATCTGACGGGTGCGGGAGGATTAAGCGGGGTGACAACTTCGTGGGTTGGTGCGTGACGACGGACTGTCCGCATCGGAGAGAGAGAGAGAGAAGGAGAGAGTTGAGGTGGATGGACGCGGATTTGTTGTTTCTTTGTTTCTTCCCCGTCTTCATCTGTGTATATACATTTTGATTGCGGCTCCAGGCGGTTTGCCCGTTCTTATTTTCGTTTCGGCTTTCTGAAATGTGGGTTTGGATTTTTGCTCACACGTGTCTTTGCTACGTCCGTCCCGATTGCGTTATGTGTATGATTATCGAATGTATGGATGTATGGATGTGTGGACGTTATGCCTGCTTGTCTATCTTTCTGCTGAGAATCCTTGTCCTTGCTTTTTGTTTGTGTCGAATCCTTGCCCACGCCTGATGCAGCTGTAGATGGGATGAGAATCTGGCCCCAATAGCGATTTTGTTCTCGTTTTTGATTATCTCGCGATGGGGGTTGTGATATGGTTGCATCTTGCATAATCCGAAGCAATTAGACAATCCGAAGTCTGGCCCCGCGAACGCCGCGGGAGAACACGTGTAAACGCGATCCGAGTCGCGCCCTTACACACATTCCCGTACGTCGATTCGCCCACCCAAAAAGATTCGCGGCGGAACCGTCACCCCGTACGAGCACGCCGAGGCGCCACTGAGCCTGTCTGTCCTGCACATGCTCGTGCACGGTGACGATAACCCGACCCTAGCCATCCCATCGACGATGATACCATGACGCGATCTTGGAGCTCAGACTCATCCTACGACCCGGACCATTTCACCCCTTGGATAAACGAGCTCATAAGGACGCGATACCCTGTCACACGGAGAATCAACTATGTCCGCGGGAATTCCACTGTGCCACCTCTAGCGACCCTCGGTGCTCTGATTTCCCTTCCCCCGACCACACCTACTACTTCACCCACCCGGGATTTGTCATCATCACCACTCGTTTCCCTCCTTTCCGCCTTCTTCTCCCGTATCAACAACTCAGTGTCGTTCCGTGGCCGGCCATAGCCCCCTATTGGCCCAATACGTTTTGTGTGAATTGCCGACGTAGCGGCGAACAAAGAACTCGGGAATTCCGGAGGCCCAATCCAAGTACGCGACGGCCTGCGCCACGTGGCGGCCGCCGACGGCCTAACTGTTCGGGACCGCCTTCACCACGGAGGGATTTCCCCGTGAACCGTCGCCCACAGTGCCCGGGCCCCATCGGGCCTTGAGTCCCTTGCACACGCACCCCTCATTTGCTTAATTGCATTCATACCCTTAAGACTCCCCCACTTTCCCAAAAATCCTTGGCACACCCCTTTTCGCACTTCCAGGCCCATACCTCACTCCGATCAGGAAGTCGCGCTGGGCATGAGGTTGGGCGTCACAACACCCCGTCATATACCTGATAGGCCCCCCCAGCCCAGTATCGTAATTTGTGTGTGTGTGTGTATGCCCAAAGGCTATGTATGTTTGTATGAGCCCATAGGGCCATGTGTTTTGTATCTGTCCAAAGGCTATGTGTGCTTTGTGTACCTGTAAAGATGTACTAGCTTAGCGCCCGTAGTGCGAGCGGTGCGGGCTACGCCCGCATAAAAAACTACGGTAAAGATCAGCCAAATGGTCCGTATGGGCTGGGCTACACACGTGCTACAATGGCAATGACAATAGGAAGCAAGGTTTTAAGGCGAAGCGAATCTTGAAACATTACCTCAGTTTGGATTGTTCTCTTCAACTCAAGAACATGAAGTTGGAATTGCTAGTAATAGCGGATCATCATGCCGCGAAAAGACGAAACCAAAAGACAAAAACGAATGACGTTGAAACCAAAAAGAGAAAAACAACAACGAAACATAAAAGAGAAAAACAAATTCGCTTGCACAAAAAGACAGAAACGGACAACGAAACCTGCCCGGCCGCCCCTCCTTGAAGCCTATGCAATGGCGGCTGCTGCGGGATAATCCTCGCCATCCACGACCGTTGTCTACTCAGCCCTGCCCCTGCAGGTTAATGCGCCTCCCTTCTTTCCCAGTTTACAATGAACAAATGGGTGGACAACAACCTCTTGACAGCAGCCACTGCGAGATAGTCCTCATCATCCACGACCATCGTCCAACCAGCCCTGCCCCTGCAAGTCTATGCACCTCTCTCTTTTCCTGACGCGCAATGGACAATTGGGTGGAGAGCGGGGTCTGTGTTAATCCCCACCGCCCCCACTCTCCATCCGACCGTTCTCCTCGAACTTGGCGCTCTTCTATGGGCGCGCAGCGGACCGTCTCCCCTTTTTTCGCGCAGATGTCTCATAAACCACGAGTGCTTGGCCCATACATGGGCCGCGGGCTACCCCGTTAACGCACCGCAGCTGTTGGTGGTCGGGAAAGTCCAACACACCCGATCCCTCCTGAATGCGCAAAAATTCATATGTGAGGTAAAAAAAAAATTATATGGCTGTCCCCCAATGAGGAGAAGGCAGCTTTCAAAAAAAGAAAAAAAAAAAGACAACTCCGCCGGTGACCGCTGCACAGTTTCGAATTCGCAGGAATAACAGTCCACTCGAAGTTTGGGCGAAGACAAGTTTGAAACTGCAAGGAAAACACTGAAGTATGCGCTCGACGGCCTACGGGTTCAATAATTCGCAAAAACGGGAGGTGGCCTGGTGTAGCGGACCCACCAGGTGTGGTGCTCCGCTAGTGGTAAAGATGGAGATGGAGGAGGAAGGGGGGAGCAAGATGATGCACAGCGCAGCTCCCACGCAGGACTCCAACGCACGTACTCCAAAAATGTGCAAGTCAAGAATGAGAGTGAAAACAGACAACGGCTGGGGTATACCCCAGCGGACTGACGGGACTGGACTGGACTGGCTGGTACCGACAGAGGTACCCGCCTGGACAGGCCTACCCCAAATACAACACAGGCATGTGAGAACAGGCCAAGGGGCTGGTCTCACAGGCCAACCCGAGGTCCGCTACACGATCCTCGACCTGTGATGGATTGCCTAGATACAAACATGCTTCCGCCAAGAAGCGRAACTCTACCAAAGAAAAGAAAACYTGAGTAGTCTAGGATGCGGAGCAAGCTCYATGCTGAGTCCATGCCATGCAACCTAGGATATAAAATGKCACAAAACAGCAATGTCAYAGCTAACAGCCTAAGTGAAAGTAGGAGCAACTAACTAACATACGTGTCCTASGAAAGCAAAAAGTAGTGACAACTAGATCCTAGAATGTTGGAGGCACTAGCCTYAGTCTGGTAASAAMTGACWAGTGTATAAGTCCTAAGAACAGCAAAAGCAGAACAACTAAATCCTRGAAATGTCGGAGGCAGTAGCCTCAGTCTGAGAGCAACAAAGCAATCAACAAGACAACCATATGTCACATGAGACRTGTGTCGCACACCAAAGGGTGGGATGGTCTCTGAGGGTGGCGAATGCAGCCTAGGGGTCGAAAACTCCTAAGGGCATCCACACATAGTGACAGGGGAAAACACATGTCATCAGGCTCAATGAGGGTAGGGAACTGGGAGCGAACAGAACCAATGACCCTAACAGATAGACCATCAGGGCGGGTAATGCTCGACTAAGGGGTGACCGCTATGGAGGGTCGACCATGCAAGGGAACAAGGGAGCCTGSTATACTGGGCGCACCTAGATGAAGCATGCGGGGCTGCCTAACTAGGGCGTGAGGGCCGGCGAAGGGTAGAAAGATGATAGGTAAGAGAATCATGCAAATGACTCCTAAAGTGAGGGAAGTCGGAGCTAGATCCGTAAGATGGGAAGCCAGGGCAACGCTACGGTCCCGATGCCTATGCATATACCAAGGGAGAACCCAACTCAGAGGAACCCGGCTAAAGGGAGACCATCATGCAACACAAGCAGGGTACTGTACAGGGTAGAGTGGTAAGAGAGTGACGACGTCTGAAGTAGGCAGAGCTGATCGTGATGAAGTCCAAGAAGCTGTCGATGACGTCCATGATAAGAAGTCGGGAATGTCGTCGAGGAAGAGCCGCAGCGTCGACGAGCAGAAGTAGCAAACCTGATGTGGATGGAGTACTGTGAAGTCGAAGACGTGGGAAGGTAAGTCTGAGTCAATTGTCGTATCGAGCAGGACGACGACGAGTGCGTGTGGACGCTCAGAAGCATCCGGCTGCTGCTGAAGGTCTGCCTCAGATGGAGCAGGCTCGACTTCAGCGGTCTCCTCAGCCGAAGGAGAAGGAGGAGGGTCACTGGGCTGAGGAGGAGCAGTGAACCCAGCACGACGAGCACGGTCATAGGCACGCACCAACATGCGAGCGTGCTGCAAGTGCTCGAGGGGCTCCCAAGTAGCCTCCTCATCAGGGTAACCCTTCCAACGTACGAGATACTCGACGTGGGGAGGGTTGTCGTCGGTGACTCGGCGACCAATGATGTCTGAAACGAGGAACTCCTCGTGGCCGTCCACCATGATGGGTGGAGGGCGCTCGTATGGTCGTCCAGCGAAACGCTCAGACGGTCTGCGGTAAGGACACAGTAATGAGACGTGGTAGACATCATGCACACGAACCTGGCGTAGGTAGTCGGGCAGCTTCAAACGAAAGCTGACCGGGCTAGATGCCGTATCAGAACCGACGGCCTGGAGGATGCGGCATGGGCCAAAGAAGCGACGCCGAAACTTGCGAAGMGTGTYCGCTTCAAGCTGTAAGTGGCGGGCGTCGATAAGCACATCATCACCGACTTTGAATGGATGATCCATTCTCGATCGGTTCACACGTGCTGCCATGCGAGTCTGGGAAGCGGCTATGTGCTCATGTGCGGTCTTCATAATCGACGTCATGTGTGCAACCCAATCATCCAGCGCGGGACAACTCGTGTCAGGGTGCATCTGGGACGGTCGAAGGAAGTCAGCGGGAGCACGAGGGTGATAGCTGAGGTCGCAATAGTAAGGTGACATCCCCGTGGCTGGCGAGACCGCGTGGTTGTAGGCTATCTCCGCGTGGGCAAGATGAAGATCCCACTGCTGGTCGTCACGAACAATCTTTCGAAGAATATCTCCGAGAATCCTGTTCGTGATCTCGGTCTGACCATGAATCTGAGGATGGTAAGACGAAGAGAAGCGAAGCTGAGTGCCGTATACCTCGTGGAGCCGTCGCCAGAATCGGCTGGTAAAGCGCGGGTCACTGTTAGATATGATGCTCAGAGGTAAGTCGTGGTCACGCACGACTCGGTCGAACACGATGTCGGCGACCTCACGTGCACTGATGGCATATCGACACGGAACAAAGCGTGCACGCTTCTTGAAGCGGTCGATGACGACCAGGATAGCATCATGACCGCGAGGGGTCGGAGGACGAAGAGGACCGATAAAGTCCATCGAGATGGACTGCCAACGACCCTCAGGGATAGGAAGAGGATGGAGCAAACCATAAGGCAAGTGGTTCGCACTGTTCACCTCCTGACAGGTAAGACACTCTGTGACGTAGTCCTTCACAAAGTCCTTGGGCTTCGGCCAGACGTACAGGCGGCTCACACGAGCCAATGTCTTGTGGAAGCCCATATGACTGGCAGCTGCCTGGTTATGGAACTCTGCTACTGCTCGGACACGTAGCTGTCCAGTGGAGGGAACGCAAATACGGGGCTCTCTGGTGCCCTGTGAACCGTGCCWGTRCACAAGACCGTTGTCCCCGAGAGAGTAGTTCGGGACGGTCTTGCCACTCCGAAGGGTCGCGTGGATATCGCGATAGTCGGGGCAGTGGCGGTACTGAGTGCAAAACTCGTCGATCACCGAGTGGTGGACGGTGGTGACCGAGATGRAAGAGAGCTGGATGTGCTCCTGGTCGTGGTCAGGGCGTCGGGATAAGGCATCTGCGACCCGATTAGTTTCACCCTTGATGTGCTCAGTGGTGAAACTAAACTCGGATAGGTCGCGCCACCAGCGAGCCTGTCGAGGAGTGAGCTTCGGTTTTGTCAGAAAAGTCTGGACAACAGAGTTGTTTGTACGCATCGTGAACGGTGCTCCGTGCAGGTAGTGACGCCAGTGCCGAGCGACATAAACTACTGCGAGAACCTCACGTTCATCAGCAGTGTAGTTTATCTCGGCGGGCAGGAGCTGACGGGAGTAGAAGGCTATCGGACAATCACCGGAGCGAGACTCGACAGTGCCGTCCTCGGCGATGGTAGGAGAATAGTCAATAGAAGGCTCGTCAGTAGCTGGACGAGTAGGAGTCAGTCGGGAAGCAGTGGTAGGGGTAGGTGGTGGGAAGCGAGGGATACGAGGATGAAAGGAATCAAGAGAGGAGGGGAAAACATGAGAAAGCACTGCTCCTACAGCGAAGTCTGACGCATCAGTGGTAAGGATAAAAGGGCGGTCAAAAACGGGTAGGTGAAGAACCGGTGTGCATGTTACCGCCTTCTTGAGGGCGCGGAAGGCGTCCTCGTGGAGGGGTGTCCAAGCCCAGGGTGGGTTCTTTCGGAGAAGGGTGGAGGTAAGGACGTAGGAATACCTAGCGTATCCTCGGATGAAGTTACTATAGTAGCTGGTTAGGCCTAGGAAGCTGCGAAGCTGCTTGGCGGATGTGGGGGCGGGCCACTCCGCAATAGCAGTGATCTTCGCGTCGTCCATGTGGAGACCCTGGTCAGACACGTAGTGTCCTAAGAAATCCACTTTGTGCTGGGCAAATCGGCACTTGCTCAGCTTGGCGTAGAAGCCATGTCTGCGCGAACGGTTAAGGACGTCGCGGAGGTGCTTGAGGTGCTCCTCAAGGGTACGACTATAGACCAGGATATCGTCGAGGTAGACGAGAACGTACTGCTCCAGGATGTCCCTGAAGATGTCGTTCATCGCCCTCTGGAAGGTGGCGGGTGCATTGGTGAGGCCGAATGGGATCACCGTAAACTCGTAGTGGCCGAAGCGCGATTGGAACGCTGTCTTCGGCTGGTCGGCTGCAGCGACGCGGATCCGATGGTAACCGCTACGAAGATCAATCTTCGTAAAGAAGCGGTTGCCTGCTAGGCGGTCGAACATCTCATCGGAACGAGGCCTGGGGTAGCTGTTCTTAACCGTGTAGCGGTTGAGACCGCGATAGTCAATGCAGAGACGGAGAGTTCCATCCGCTTTGCGAGCAAAGAGGACGGGTGCACCCCACGGGGATTTGCTGGGATTAATGAAACCCAGTCTCAGGAGCTCCTCAAGCTGACGCTTGAGTTTGGTGGCCTCGGGAATCGAGAGTCTGTAGGGTGCCTGGTGGTGAACACGATAGTCAGGCTCAAGCTGAATGGAGTGCTCGACATAACGCATCGGTGGGATGCCGATGTACGAGAACGACGATGGGAAAACGTCGTGGTACTCTCGGATGAGGTCACGAACTGCGGGCTCCAGGTCAGCCGTATATCGTGCGAGTTCCTCAGCGTCAGCGTCAACGCCCGACGGCGGGGTGGACTCGACGGATGG